AAAGATTGCAACCGTTACACGAATAGAAAACGGCGCATGCTTAAACTGTGGCACTCGCTTGAGACATCCGTAATCTTGGTGACCAACAACTTCACCATACTCTCCGCTACGAACTGTCCCTTGACATGCAACCAACGACGACATTCTGGAATACGTAATACGGGGTAATTGTTGCACGCGTTCAAAAATACTGGGATGGTTCATGTTGAGATATGTGTGATGTTCTGGAACAAGCGTTTTCATGTGGCAACACGGTGGGATAAATTCAGGGCTGGGTCCGCATCCGAATATCATTGAATCCAGAGGTCGACGGGATTTCATGATTTAAGGATCCCATCGCTGGGCGCAGCCTACACAGCTCTTCTTCCTATGTTTCTATAGGGGAGGGGGGCTGATATCGTTTCGGCCTCTCCACTGCCCTGTGAAATTTGTAAGGCGTTTTCCTCAGGCCGCTGTATGTAGGCGCTGCACAGATGAAGGTCGGTTCCTTCTCATCATTGGGCTCTCGCTTGGGACTTCCTCGATGCTCATGGCCAGAAGTGTGCTCTGACGGGGTGCGGTCCTTTTTCAAAACTGGGATCTCGCTGGGCACCTCGTTGAATTCGATGATCATCCGCCACCGTGCCGCTTGGCATGGAGTGGGCGTGTCCGCAAATCCCTTGCCAAATCCCCTGAGTCTGCCCTCGATCCGAACGGATCTTCAAGGGGCCTGGACCCCAAATTGCCAAATCTCTCAAGGCCTGTCGCGGTTCCCCTGGGCTCCAGCGCGTCTTGCCGCATGACCTTTTCGGGCCCAAGAGGGTCCCAAGACGGGCCAATAGCGCCCCAAGAGGCCCCCAAGACGGTCCAAGTCAAGAGACGCCCCAAGATCGCACCAAGACGCCTGAGATGACCTAAGAAGCCTCCGAGACGCCCCAAGAGAGCCGAGCGTTCCCAAGAGGCCCCTGAGAAGCCAATATCATTGTTGTTCCATAGGTTGTTCAATCATTTTTGAGTCCCCGACTCCCCGAGCTCCCGACGCTCCAAGACGGCCCAAGGGGCCCCCAGGACCGCCCCAAGACGGCGCAAGAGGCCCCCAGGAGGGCCACAGCACAGTTCAAGAGGGCCCCAAGCCGGCCCAGAGGCGCCCAAGACGGCCCAATCTGGCCCAACGACAGCCCCAAGAAGGTTCCATCCTAGAGGCCTGTGACCCACAACCCAGGCACAGTGGCGGGACTGGCTGAAAGCCATGATATACTATACCAGTGGTTTGCAAATGCTTCTGGCCGTGATTGGCCGACCGACCGAGGAGGAGGAGGAAGAGGAGGAGGAGGAGGAGGAAGAGGAGGAGGATGAGAATGAGGAGGAGGGCCGAAGGCTATTCTACATCTTGCCGCATGTCTGACTGCGCACAAAAAGATGCAAAACAGAGGCCCAGAGGGTACTGGTCACAGATGGGCACCTCGTAAAATGGAAGGAAAGCTTGTCGGGACTTCAAATAAGCGGCTTGTGACGGGAGGGTGCACTGCGCATCGCCTTCTCCCCTCCCTCCCCTTTTGCATCCTCCTCCTCCTCCTCCTCCTCCTCCTCCTCCTCCTCCCTGCCTCTCCCTGCATCCCTCCCCCTCCCTCCGTACCTCTCCCTTCGGACCTGGCGCGCCGCCCCCTGCGCGTCGCCCCCCCTGCCGCATAACATGACCAGTCTGGGCGTGCCGCCGCGAAGCGGAGCGTATCCCGATCGCGCGCTTTGGCTCTCCGGGCGCCGTGGGCCGCTGGCAACGCCTGCCAAAAAGCTGGATCACGAGGAGGACGACGGGGATGCAAGGATGGTGGAAGGGAGAAGGGCGGAGTGAGGGGGGGGAGGGGGAGCAGACACAGGAGGAGGATGGTGGCAGAGGGAAGGGCGAAGTGAGGGGGAGGAGGGGGAGCAGGCACAGGAGGAGGAGGAGGAGGAGGAGGAGGAGGAGGAGAAGGAGCATGTCCGTAGCCATTTTGACGCCTACTTGCGGCTCAAGCTCTCAGCTTACGCCTACCGTCACCTGGGTGTTGCCGTCTACTTCTAAATGTCGCGCCACGCTAACTACTACTACCCGAAGCACAAGACGACGGGTCCCGAAGAGACCACGACGTCGTATACCGAAGGACCTGTTGGCCAGACCGAAGTCTGGGTCCAGGACTAGTACCCGCTCCCATTTACACTCTCGGATGAGTCCTCGTCTAACTGCTGGACGCAGTCACTCGCCAAGATGTCGCAGAACCCGAACAGCGCCTACGGCTACGACGTCTCCGACATCCAGCCGGCCTTCAAGCACTCCTACATGTATGCTGAGTCCAGAGGCGTACACGTATACAAAGCTACTTGTCCAGAAGGTTGCTGCCTGCCAGTGCCTGACGAGCGCGAGGGCATGGGTCCGCACTGGCAGAACCCTATGCAATTACGGCCCAACTACTGGCTTACGCGCTCCAGCTACCTGATACCTCATCATCAAGACTGAAGAATACACGGGCACGACGATCTTCCAGATATGCATCCCTAATGTTGATAAGACGTTTATGCCACAGTTACCGACTTACCCGACGCCCATCGTCGGCGACTTGAAGAAGGCTACGTCTTTACTCATGCATGGGCCAATTTTCCAACACTACCCCACTGAGCTGTTTACCAAGATGGAGCTCTACGACCCGTTCCACCAGAACACCATCTTCAAGAACCGCGAGAACCTCGTCTCAACCTTACCAAGAACGGGAGCGCCCGCTACTTCGGCCACTTCATCAAACATTACAGCGACCTCCAGGAGACTCCAACAGTACCTGCTACAGGCCACATCAGTTACCCGCCACTGGTGAAGATTAACGAAGATTCGCCGTTCTTGGCTACGCGGGGTACGAAGCGCCGGCGTACCGATTGAAGCCTACCAGAGGAGTTGCAGAACAGAGCGACAGCTGCGAAATCATCTTCCTTACATACTCCTTGTGCCACTTTTACTTTCCGTGCAAGGCGTTCCAAGTCGAGGTGCTCTGAGGACTACCTGGTCTCAACCGGGGGGGGGAATGATCTACGACGTAACCGGTTGCACTCCTCCCCCCCGAGGCCCATGGCGACGCCTCCCCCCTCCACGCTGTTAGACGACTGGCCCACCCCCTCTACCTCCTCGTCGCCAGGGTCAACACTGCCCCATCGGGGTACGGCGGAGGCGGACGCGGTCTACAAGACTACTTGAGCCGTGGCCGCGTGTGCAGGCGGCACCTGGCACCGTACACGGCCTGCCCTACGGCTGGGCCCCAGCGGGGGCGCGCGTGGCGGGCGTGCGGAGCTGCGGAGTCAGAGTGCGGCGGCAGGAGGAGGAGGAAGCCAGTAGCTGGAGGCGCAGAGGAGGATTGCCGATTGCCCAAAGGATGCTGATGAAAGATGACGACGATGATGTTTGCTATCGTGTTGGTGATGACGTCGATGCTGACAATGGCAATGACGAAGACGCTGCTGATGCTGCTGTAGCTGCTAATGCTGCTGCTGATGATGATTCTGATGATGCTGATGCTGATGATGCTGATTATGATGATGATGCTGGTGATGATGCTAATGATTATGCTGATGATAATGATAATGATGCTGCTGATGATTATGACGACGATGCTGATGAGGACGACGATCTGGAGGAGGAGGACGAGAAGGAGGAGGGCAGACGGAGGATGAGGATGAGGATGAGGATGAGGATGAGGATGATGATAATGATGATGATGATGATGATGATGATGATGATGATGATGATGAGGAGGAGGACGATCTGGAGGATGAGGACGATGAGGAGGACGAGGAGGAGGAGGAGGACGAGAAGGATGAGGAGGAAGAGGAGGAGGAGGAGGGGAGAAGGAGGAGGAGGAGGAGGGGGATGGTAGCTGTTGCTCAGCATATCTGCCACCGTGCCCTCGGACACGAGTTGGAGTGTCCTCGGGTCCCTGGCTCGATCCCCAAAGCTCTAGTCCTCACTTCTGAGGAGGGCCCAGACCCCAAACTCTCGACTCTCCCAGGGCTTGGCGCGGTTCCCCCAGACTCCCCCGAGTGGTGGCGCATGTTCTTTCGGTGCCAAGAGGGGTCCAAGACGGGCCAAGAGACCTCGAAGAGCCCGCCAAGATGGCCCAAGGGTGCTCCGAATCGCTATCATACCGTTCCAAGTCGCTCAAGGTGGCGCTTCGATGGTCCGACCAGCCTGTGATACGGCTGGTTCGTGTCGTGTCGACCCCGGCGTTGGTTCCTGACACCGCGGGGATCGTTCAACCTTGAACGATCGGCACTTTCCGAAACGTCCGATCGCTGAGCATCGCCCGATTCTGGGCCACGGGCGGCGTTCAAACTTGAACGCCCGCGCTGGGGTCGCCGCTGGTCGACACGGCGCGAACCTCCCGTACGCCCCAAGAAAGCTCCACGAGCCTGCCCAAGAGGGCCCCGAGATGCCAACATCGCTGATACCCCTTCGGTTATTCAATGCTTGCCTTTGGCTTTCTACTTTTTGAGCTTCCGATGCTCCAGGACGTCCCCAGAGGCCCCCAAGGAAGCCCCTAAGACGGCCCAAAGGCCTCCAAGAGGCCTCCAAGATGGCTCCAAGACGTCCCAAGAAGCCCCCAGGACTGCCCAAGAGGCGCCCAAGACGGCCCAAATTAGCCCCAAGCTGCCCCCAGGAGTGGAAGCCCGAACGGACAATGCGAGCCTTTCGACCCAAGATGCCCCCAGGAAACCCCAAGATGCCCCCAAGAGGCCCCCAGGAGGCCTCCAGGAGGCCCCCAAGGCGCCACAAAAGGTCCCCAAGAGGCATACGACCCACAACCCAAGCATGGTGGCGAGATGGGCCGAAAGGCCATTAATTGATACATCAGTGATTTGCGAATGCTTCTGGCCGTGATTGGCCGACCGACCGAGAAGGAGAAGGAGAAGGAGGAGGAGGAGGAGCAGGAGGAGGATGCGTGGCAAGAAGCAGGAGGATGATCAGGAGGAGCAGGAAAAGCCGCAGCAGCACCGCCAGCAGAAGGATGAGGAGGCGCTCGGGTGGGAGGACGACGAGGAAGGTGTCGCGTTCGCGAGGCCCCCCTCACAGTGCGTGACTGCCTCCGGCCAGGGCAGCGCGGCTCTCGCGGCTCGGGGTCAGCAGCCTCACAAACGGCCAGGGGCGCGGTGCGCGAGAAGGGGGGGGGGGCAAGGGAGGAGGGGGAGGAGGTGTGTAGGAGGGGTGGTGATGGGGGAAAGGGGACGGGGAAGAGGAGGGGAGGAGGAGGGGAATGAGCAGATGATGATGATGATGATGATGATGATGATGATGATGATGATGATGATGATGATGATGATGATGATGATGACAATGATGATGATGATGATGATGATGATGATGATGATGATGAGGAGGATGAGGAGGAGGAGGAGGAGGAGGAGGAGGAGTAGGACCAATGTAAACCCAATAATCATCGGGCACACCCTTCCTCCAAGCTCCCTCTCCATATAGGCCCCATAAAAAGATTCACTTCCACTGAGGGAAGTGCCCCGTTGGGAGACAATCGTGTGAAAATCCTCAAGCGTGCCAAAACACCACTGTCAGGACTTCATCGTTACGAAGTCAGCTGACTGTTGCGTCTTGACGATTATGAGCCTGAACGCCATCCCTGGGACTTCAAGACCGCGAATCAACGTAACTGCTGCGCCCTGGAAAATTTGAATCGTTCGAGAACACCCTTTTTGGAAAATGATCCCGTATAATCTGCCAAACTCTTGCAAATTTTGACAACGAGTGTGCGCGGCGCTGAGGCGAGAGTCACATTAAAAATGAATCGCCTTCAATCCGTGAATCGCCTTCAACTCCTTGTCGTCCTCGTCGCCATCGTCCTCGCTGACACCGTCGCCACCCTCGTCCTCATCGTCGTGGCCGTCAGCTTCCCCGTCGTCGTCCTCGCCCTCCTCGAAGTCGCCGCTGTCGTCGTCGTCGTCGTCGTCGTCGTCGCTGCGCGCGCGGCGTGGGTGCGCCCCCTCCTTGTGGGCGCAGGAAGCCGCCAGGCTCAGCAGGCGCCCTGGGAGGTCCCCCCCCGCGCGCGCGCACGCGCCCCCCCCCCCCCCCCCCCCTCGGCGGCGGGGTAGGCCGAGGAGGGGGGACGGGAGGGGCCTCCTCCTGCTCCTCATCCCTGCTCCTACGCCTCCGCCCTCCGCCCTCCTCCTCCGTCCATCTGTCCCATCCGCCTCCTCCTCCTCCTCCTCCTCCTCCTCCTCCTCCTCCTCCTCCTCCTCCACCCTCCTCCACCCTCCTCCACCCTCCTCCACCCTCCTCCTCCCGCCTCCTCCTCCCTCCGTCCCTCTGTCCCTCCGTCCCTCCGTCCCTCTGTCCCTCCTCCTCCTCCTCCGCTCCTCCGTCCCTCCTCAACCCTCCTCCTCCGCCCGTCCGTCCCGTCCGCCTCCTCCAGGGGGGAGGGGCCTCCTCCCTCCTTCCCCCTCCCTCCTCCTCCTCCTCTCCTCCTCCTCCTCCTCCTCCTCTTCCTCTTCTTTCTCTTCCTCGCCCCTCCTCCTCCCGTCCTCCCTGCGCCCTACTCCACAATGACTCAATCTGAATACTACTCTCCCTCTTCCCCTGGTGACGGTTTGAAAGTGCTTATTAGAAAATATTGCCCCCCCGTACTGTTTTTTACACACAGGTTTCCCCTGAGTTGGGTTTTCGCCTGCATTTGTTTTCCAAAATGCTGCTCTCGCTGAGGCGCCGGCCTCATTTTCGGGCACCACTCGTTCTGAATCGTGCTCCCGCTGCAGCGCTGGCATCATTTCCGCCGGCGCCCAAGCTGCACGCCCGAGCCGGCGCCCGGGCCGGCGCTCGGGCCGGGTCCGGAGCCGGTTTCGGCCGGCGCCGGAAAATCGAGTTCCGAGGCGGCGCCGAAAAAATGCCATTCCAATACACATTTTTCTTTTGAAAATGCTGAATTTCTGCTTCCGGCGTCCGGGAGAGGCCTCCCGGGCCGATTCCGACGCCCAGGCCGGCGCCCGAGCCGGCGCCTGGGCCGGACGCCCGAGCCGGCGCCCGGGCCGGCGCCCGGGCCGGGTCCGGAGCCGGTTCCGGCCGGCGCCGGAAAATCGAGTTCCGAGGCGGCGCCGAAAAAGGGCCATTCCAATACAAATTTTTCTTTCGAAAATGCTGAATTTCTGCTTCTGGCGCCCGCCTCCCGGGCTGATTCCGGCGTGCTTCCGCTCGTTCCGAATCGTGCTCCGGCTGCAGCGTTGGCCTCATTTCCGCGCTTCCGCTCGTTTCGACTCGTGCTCCCGCTGCAGCGCTGGCGTCATTTCGGGTGCCATGCCATGGCATGCAATGCAATGCTTGATACTACGCTTCGCGGTGCTCTTTTACGCCATGCCATGCCGTGCTGTACAATGCATCGCGTACCCTTTCGGGATCATTGCCCTGCTCGACATCCGACTGTGCGAGTAGAGAGGGGATCTGCGCCATGGTAAGGGATGGGAGGGAGGGGTAGGATGCCAGATATGACGCGAGCGCACCTAGCTTGTCCTCCCCCCTCCCTCCCCCTCCCCTCCCTCCCCTCCTCCTCCTCCTCCTCCTCCTCCTCCTCCTCCTCCTCCTCCTCCTCCTCCCCCCTCCTCCCCCCTCCTTCCCCCTCCTCCTCCTCCTCCTCCTCCTCCTCCTCCTCCTCCTCGCCCCTCCGCCTCCCATCCTCCCTGCGCCCTACTCCCACTGCCGTGCCTTCTCCCCCATTCCGTCTGCGAGTGGGAGGGCCACGTGGCCCGATGATCTTGCCATCGCTCGGACGTCCATTTCTTGTGTATGTTTCGATTTCGTGCGTGCACTCTCCCGCAAGCTGATCCAAGCTGCTCCCCGATGGTCCTCGTCGAGAGAAATGCACGCGTTCGAGCGATACCAAGTGATCGCCCAGCGTCCTGAGCCAGAAGGCATCATGCCCATGGGATCAGGCTTTCTGAGCTCGCATGTCCGGTCCAAGCGTGGAATGGCGGCGCGCGCTTCCCACATGCCTTTCACTCCGGGAATTCTCACGATGTCGTGGCGAGTGGAACATGGCGGGCGGCAAGAAGAACCTTTCCTCCTCCTCCTCCTCCTCCTCCTCCTCCTCCTCCTTTGTTTCCTCTTCTCCATCTCCGTCTCCTTCTCCCCCCCACCGCCTCCTCGTCTTACTCTTCCTCCTCCTCCGTTTCCTTCCCCTCCTCCCCTCTGCCTGGGCCTCCTCCTCCATTTGGATTCCTTTTATTGGCCGGCCTGACGGGCCAGAGGCGTTCTACAATCCCATGTAGCAACGTATATGGTGCATCTAGTTCGCGCGCGCGTGCCGACCCCTGGGAGTCCCCAGAGGACAAGTACCCTTGGCAAGGTCATGGGCAAGTTGGGGCTACGGATGCCCGAACTCCCAGGGGCGGGCGGTCTTCGGGTGTGCCTCAAGATCGCCCCAGGAGCTCCCCAAGAGGCTACAAGAGATTCCTAAGAGGGCCCAATCGTCGGGATCATTAGGTGTCAGGCCATAGGATGGTCCGGAAACAATCCCAAGAAACCTCAAGATAGCTCCAAGATGGTCTCGGACAGGCCCAGGAGGACCCCAAAGGCAACATGTATGTAATATCCATTCGGTTTTGAAACCGCCCAAGATGCCCTCAACATCCCCCTAAGTCAGGCCCAAAGGCTCCCTTCACGGCTCCAAGACGGCACCAAGTCAACCTAAGATGCCTCCCACAGGGAGCTCCCCAGGCTCCCAAGTGGGGGAGAATCCGAACTGACATGTCGAACCCTTCCCCGAAAGATGGCCCCAGAGACCGCCAGCAGGCCCCCAAGATCGGCGGTGGACAAACCTCCCTTTAGTAAACCTCCCTTTAATGAAAACGGCCTGGGACCGAAACCGACGGACCTGGACCCGCAAAAATGACGGCCGCGACGCCCTCTCGCGAAGCGAAATCGGCCAATTCGCTCGTCGACGTGTCAGGGTAGAAGGCCTGTCCACCCCCGACAAGAGGCCTCCAAGAGGCCCCCAGAGGCGTGAAAGATCCCCCCAAAGGGCCCAAAGAGGCCCCCAAGAGGTCCAACGAGGTCGCCAAAAATACCGCCGAGAGGCAGGAGAGGCAGCCGAGAGGCCTCTCAGAGGCCGCGCGGAGCCTCCCGCAAGGGGCGTCTTGCCAACGACTCGGTTGGGCCCCAAGAATTCTCCAAGAAGCCATCGGGAGGCCTCATCCCCTTCCTCCCCTCTTCTTCTTCCTCGTCTTCCTCAGGAGGAGGAGGAGGAGGAGGAGGAGGAGGAGAGGCCACCTGCTCGCTCGCCATGAGCACACCAACATACAGCACCAGTGATGCAACAGGAGCTGGCGGCATGCGCGAAGCGATCAAATTCGGCGGGCCCCCTGCGGGCCCTGGCCCTGTCAGCCGTCGAGGGTAGATGATGAGATGGAGGATGGTGGGGTCAGAGTGAGAAGCATGCACAAAGCATGCTAAGAGGCTCGAGGGGCTTCGCGGATTCCGCCGGCCAATCTCCTTCAGTTCTTCTTGGGAGACGTAACAAGAAGAGTGAAACGTGCTCTTCGCGCGAGGCCTACGCGCGTCACATCTCCAGTGACACGACAGATACTAGTGAGAACCGCGCTCAGGGCTGCGAACGCCTCGTTTCGGCGCACCCATCCCGCCTTTCCTGTGAGACGCGTGAAAATATGAGTGAGCAACGCTTTCATAGCTACGACTCTGACATTTCGGCCCACCCCTAACGCAGTTCCTTGTCCACACTCGACTGCCTAACGCATTTCCTTGTCCACACTCGACAGGGACACGTGAAAATACGAATGATCTGCGCTCCGAGGCCGTTCGAACCCCCATGGGACGCCAACATGGCCCCAACAAAGATTGTAAGGATTGGTGCCGGCCCTCGTCGAAGCAATATCCCTAACATCCACGGGGGGCCTGCTATGACTCCCGCTCTGCGGGCTCAATCTAACTCCTCCCTTTCTCAACCTCCGACGCGTCGGTAAGGCGGACCCAGCGTCTCGCCTAGGACTGCCCCACCAATTATGATCCTTAAGTTTGACATGTGCAGCAGTTGGTCCAATGGGGAAAAGTAGTGTTCAAAATGTGGTTATCGGCTTAGCGCAGCCCGCATTCGTCTTAAAGCCATGGATTACTGATCGTGTTCAACATGTGGCTCTCGCTCTAGCGCCGCCCGCGTTCGTCTTGACACCTTGCAGCAGGTTTGCGGATAGATGGAATGGCTTTCAACATGCGGCTCTCGCCTCAGAGCGGCCCACGTATGTTTTAAACGCTCGCAGCAGTTGCACGGATGGAACACAGGTCTTTCAAACAAATTGCTCTCGCCCTATGGCTGCCCACACTCGTCTCAAAAGCTTCCAACAGTGACACGGACGGATGGCAGTTGCTCGCATAGATGTGGCCCTCGCCTCAGCGCCACGCACGCTCGTCTGGAAAACTTGCGGCGATCAATTACGGTGATAGGGGGTCAGCTCGTCTTCAAAATGTGGCCCTCGCCCTAGCGCCTTGCACGTTCTTCGCACAGACGCGGAACGGTTACGGGAATGTTTTTTTGGTGGGGGGGGGCACTGTTGCCCGACCAGTACAACAATTCAGCCGCTCAGCGCGACCGACCTGCTCGCCGCCTCCCGTGCCGCAAGCACGGATGGCATCCAAGCATGGGACGGTTCCTCGTCAAACCAGGGGCTCTCGATGGTGGCCTCCTAAGTCCAGCACGCCATACAGCTGAACAGGGCTGAACCTGAACGGTGCCTTTCGTTTTCGTGTTGTTTTCGTTTCCCTCGCTTTTGTCTTCAGTCCGCCTTTGCCGTAACACGAAGTCGAAACGAAAACGGCCCACGAAATCGCCAAAACACCGTGTAGGTCCAGCCCTGCAGCTGAACACAAGGAACGGCTGCGCGGACGGAGGCAATAATCTTGCTCCAGCGTGGCCTGTCCCTCTCGCGTGGAGCCTTCCTCGAAGCAGCGTGGCCCGACGTGCAACCGTGTGAGACAATCACACAGACGGGGCGGTCCTGTCTCAAAATGGGAACATCGCTGGACACC